AAAAGAAAAAAGCCGGAAGTGGCGCTGTGGCTCAAGTGGTACAGCGCTAGCCTTGAGCTGAAGAGCTGAGGGACAGCATCCAGGCCCAGAGCCAGAGTTCAGGCCCCACGACCGGACCCAAAAAAAAAAAAAAGTCTCACAGATTTTCCTGCCCAGGTTGACTTTGAACCGTAATCCTCAGATCTCAGCCTCCTGAGTAGCTAGGATTACAGGCATGAGCTAGCACCCAGCTAAATTTCTCCTTTCTTAGAATACACTTTGCTACTATAAAAACAACAAAAAAGATGTTCAGGAGCTGGGAAGGTGGCTCAGTGGTAGAGCATTTGCCTTGCATGCATGAGGCCCTGGGTTCGATTCCTCAGCACCACATAAGCAAAAAGCCGGAAGTGGCGCTGTGGCTCAAGTGGTAGAGCGTTAGCCTTGAGCTGAAGAGCTGAGGGACAGCGCCCCGGCCCAGAGTTCAGGCCCCACGACCGGACCCAAAAAAAAAAAGATGTTCATACTTTACACAAAAGGAAGAAATGAGGATAACACATCAGTCTCACTAGGTCACTAAAGAACCACAATGAAAAAAATATATACTTCAGACATTCTGTAGACTATGCTAAACATTCTAATTGCTTAAAGAAACACACAGTAGCCGGGTACTGGTGGCTCACGCCTGTAATCCTAGCTACTCAGGAGGCTGAAATCTGAGGATCATGGTTCAAAGCCAGCCCGGGCAAGGAAAGTCTGTGAGACTCTTATCTCCAATAAACCACTAGAAAACCAGAAGTGGAGCTGTGGCTCAAGCAGTAGAGTGCCAAAAAAGAGGCTGGGATTTTGGCTTAGAGGTAGTGTGCTTTCTTAGCACATATGAAGCCCTGGCTTCAATTCCTCAGTACCACATAAGCAGAAAAAGCTGGAAGTGGTGCTGTGGCTCAAGTGGTAGAGCACTTGCCTTGAGCACAGAGAGGCTCAAGGACAGTACCCAGGCCCTGAGTTCAAGGCCCTGGCTGGGGGTGGAGGGGGTGGGGTAATAGGGATGCAAAAAAACAACTAAGAAAACAGAAGATGATGGTGGTAGAAGCAAAGCTGTGGGGGAGAACAGGCGTGGGGCATGGGGCTCAGAAAACACACCTACCATCTTCAACATCAAGGAACGATCTCCAGAGTTTATATTGCAAGCCAACAACCAAATCAGCTTCTGGTTTGCTACGCCAATTCGTTTTCCTGGCTTTGTGATTTTAATCATATTTTCAAGAGCTGTAAAAAATTTTGAATAGAGAAAGGTCTTATATTACTAATGATCAAAAAAGCAACTGTGTAAACTGTAAGGTAGATAAAAATTTCACTATTTCTCTTCAACGGTTTCTAATTTTTCTTTTTATCTAACTCTGATTTTGTGAGTCAGCTTCTTTTTCATGGTATACTTTTTATCTTAGCAAATATTAAGAAAGAATTGTGCTGGTATATAATAAACACAATTTCAAGTAGCAAAGATGGCTTATTTTAAATGTCCCTATCTTTCTTCAGGTCCTATGTTCTTTTTCTCAACAACAACTGAATTTCTTACCTTCTTTCCACCCTTTTAACAGAGGGTGCAGAGAGCAAATTCCTGATTTGGACAAATGTATAGCAATTTTCATCTCAGCAGATGCCAAATCCTCATTCGTAATGACCATGAACGGCAGCAAATGTACAACCACCTGATTTGCGAGCTCCTGGTTTTCACTCAGTATCTCTTTTTTAATCAATATGTCTGCTGCTATCTCAAGTATCTTGTGCCTAAAAGACACATACACATTTGGTTGAGAGACACATTAAAGACTTCGAGGGGATGGGAAGGTGGCTCAGAGGTAGAGCGCTTGCTTTGCATGCATGAGGCCCTGGGTTCGATTCCTCAGCACCACAAAACAAAAAAGAAAAAAGCCGGAAGTGGTGCTGTGGCTCAAGAGGTAGAGTGCCAGCCTTGAGCTGAAGAGCTGAAGGACAGCGCCCAGGCCCAGAGTTCAGGCCCCACGACCGGACCCAAAAAAAAAAAAAGACTTCAATCTGGCAAAAATTCATCATCACACTGTTCTGTCTCACTCTCAACCTGAGTTGAGAAGAACAACATAAAGATGAAAATCCATTTAAAATCCAGGCCAATCATAGTCTTTTAGGACAACAGCTTTGTCCTGTCTTTCTTTCTTTTCCTAAGAGCTCATTAGGTTAACTGCAATGTAAGATGTAACACATAGTGTATGTGAACTCTGCTAGTTAAAAGGTTAACTGGCCAATTCTTTTGGATCGAGTCGGTATGACAGATAGTGCTTGCTCTAAGAAGCTTTGTTACTTTTCCTTGCAAAGAAGTGTACAATAGGGCTGGGAAGGTGGCTCAGAGGTAGAGCGCTTGCTTTGCATGCAGGAGGCCCTGGGTTCGATTCCTCAGCACCACATAAGCAAAAAAGAAAAAAGCGGAAGTGGCCCTGTGGCTCAAGTGGTAGGGTGCTAGTCTTGAGCTGAAGAGCTGAGGGACAGTGCCCAGACCCAGAGTTCAGGCCCCACGACCGGACCCAAAAAAAAAAAGAAGTGTACAATAATGAAACAACCACATCTCCTCAAACACTTCAGAAGTTACCAAGTGCCTCTGCACTTATTGTCTAGCATACCTGTATTTTTTAGCTATAAGTAGTATTATTCCAAGTAGATACACTTTCCCATGCTACGTCATCAAATTTAGGGTTATATCTTAGATTACATATGTCTGCATTTCATTTTAAAAATTCAAGCTCAGTGCTGGGCACCGGTAGCTCACACCTGTAATCCTAGCTACTCAGGAGGCTGAGATCTGAGGATCACGGTTCAAAGCCAGCCTGGGCAGGAAAGTCCATGAGACTCTTATCTCCAGTTAACTAGAAAAAAGCCGGAAGTGGCACTGTGGCTCAAGTGGTAGAGCGTTAGCCTTGAGCTGAAGAGCTGAGGGACAGCGCCCCGGCCCAGAGTTCAGGCCCCACGACCGGACCCAAAAAAAAAAAGATGTTCATACTTTACACAAAAGGAAGAAATGAGGATAACACATCAGTCTCACTAGGTCACTAAAGAACCACAATGAAAAAAATATATACTTCAGACATTCTGTAGACTATGCTAAACATTCTAATTGCTTAAAGAAACACACAGTAGCCGGGTACTGGTGGCTCCTGTAATCCTAGCTACTCAGGAGGCTGAGATCTGAGGATCACGGTTCAAAGCCAGCCTGGGCAGGAAAGTCCATGAGACTCTTATCTCCAATAAAGCACTAGAAAACCAGAAGTGGCGCTGTGGCTTAAGCGGTAGAGTGCTCGCCTTGAGCTGAAAAGTGAAAAGACAGCACCCAACCCAAGTTCAAACCCCATGACCAAAAAAAAAAAACCAAGCTCAGAAAATAGCATGAGAACACATGTAAACCCAAATTACTTAGTTTTGGAAAAAGTAAGATAGTACATTCTGTCCTACTGGATCAAATATGACCCAAATGTCAAAAAACCAAATTATTAATTAAAAAAGAAAAGGAAGAAAGAGAACATAAACTTAACTAGAACGACACTGAGTCAGAAGAGCATAAGTAGAGAAGAGGAGGAATGCACACATACCAACTGCTGTTCTTCAAGAGTTCTGCTCTTTGAAAGATACTCAGAAGATGGGACACAGTCTCTTCCGCACTGAAGTGTTGTTGAAAAATCTAGAGGGAAAAATTATTCATGAGTATATATTTACTTGCCTCATATTCATATTGTGTTTCTAAATGAATCTGACGGCATTATAAAGAATTTTCCCACAAGTCCCAGTCAAGTTTATAAGTGGCAGTCATGACCCAATGCTCTACAGACCAGGGTATTTCTTAAAAGCCGTTGCTTATTTTCCTTTTTTGAAGAACTTCATCTATCAAATTGTATAGTTGAATCACTCCTTTGTTTTTCCCCTAACCAATTTGCTCTCAAGGAACAAATTTCCAATAAAATAATTTCTAACATTCTTGCCTTGAGCAGAGCACATGAGAAGGGCAAGATAATATTTATAAACACCTAACAAATTCACTCACCTGGAAAACACCCACTGCTGACAATACAACATCTAAATTCTCATCACCAAGGCGGGCCAGGATGGCGTCTTTAATGAAGGATTCATCAATGCCCTCCTGAGCAACAGAAAAACATGTTATTCCAACCACTCAGGCCAAAAAGGTAGTACATTTTGTGAACAGCTTGGCAAAATTCTAGTAAGGAAACACGGACCCTGTCCTGTCGGGTCCCTAATAGGCCTTCTGAGACTGATAATTACTTGGTACGAACTTCTGTCAGTTTCCATCGATAATATACAACACAGACAGTTCCAGTACGGTTTTTGAATGAAGAAGTCCATCTTGCTGAAAGAGAACCCAGATACTCAAGTGCACAGGCTGTGATGTCACCCCAGGCAAGTTCCTGGGCTGTGCTCCGCTGTCAGGCAACGCAATGTAAACTCCCATTTCCTTCCTCAAAGGCTAGCAGAGGCCTAGAAACAGTACCAGTGCTCAGCACCAAGTGCTCTATGTGCACACACAGCACCAGCTCTGGCCAGCCAGGCACTGCTCGTGTCTAGTCTGTTACAGGAAAATGCACTGCACAGCCACCAGAAACTGTCTATTCTTTTTGAAATTACTGAAGAAACAAAAAGAAAAGTAGGTATATACTTGTTCATTACAAGTAGTTAGGATTACAAGTGTAATCCTAACTAGTGCCTGATGTAACTTTCTTATTCTGGAATTCTACTGCTTATCCTGAGGGAGAAAAAAATCCCAATTGACAGATAAATGACACAAACCTTTGATGTTTTCAGGGTATTTTTCAGATGATTAACCGCTAGGAGTCTCACAGGAGCAAGTGGATGACAGAGGCTGAGCATCAGTGACGTGTCAGAATCTGCCAAAATCTGCAGGTTCATATGATTGTCAAATGTCACTTATCATGAGTGGCATATAACTTAAATAAAAGAGAAATCCCCACAGAAAGCCCAACCAAAACCTAAAGGAATTGCTCAGGAGCCACACAAATGAAGACACACTGTAAAAGGGGTAGCTGTATGTATGTATACACTCAATAGGGTATGTTGTACTTTTTATAGCTATCTAGTCCCGAGTGAAAAGTTCCTGAGACAAATCACTAAATTAGCACCTTACTCAAGACAGACTGTAACTCAGTAAATAATATAACAAAGGGACACTCCATTAATAACAATTAGGTTTACTCATTAAACCAGACTAACCAGGGAGTCAACCCATCAACCTAACATTTAGAAGTGCAACACAACAGTAGATGGAAGATCAGTTATGAAGAGAAAACAAAACCAGGCATACTTCTCTTCATGACATCAGCTAATTACAAGAACTTCTGCATAAAGGTCTAACTTCTAGGACACTGACTTAGGGCTGATTCACCAGGAAATTTCAAGTTTGATCATGCTCATTAAGTATTCAAATGGACATTTGGAAGTGTCACACGTGGTGGAGGCTTCATATGCCTAGAGGCATCACCACCACAGGATATCCCAAACAATGCTTTCCTGAAGTAAGTACTGTGTCCACACTTAGTTCAAACCATTATCTTTCCCTCAACTATTCAATTCCTGTCCCAGAACTTTGTTTCTGGCAACTAGGCAAACTGTAAAGTCTCTGTAAAGTCTCTCCAGAGGTGAGGAAAAAGGGAAATTCCTCTCTACAGCTCTTCTATAACCACACATTTCCTATTTACTGTCTCAGTTCCTGGAGAACAACGTACCTGATACTTCCCTCCACTTGTAGAAAGAGAAATGAATTGGTGAAAAAGCTCCTGTTTCTTCAGACCTGTAATTTCTTTTAGGTGGTCCTCTAATACAGCATCTAACGTTTGTGGGTATCTGGGAGAAAATAAGAATTCATTCAGTAAGCTTAATAAAGCTATTAACGACACATATACAATGCACTTGTATAATAAAAGACACAAATGATATTGATCAAGCGTGTTATTAAAATGACTCTAAGAATAAAAAATGTCTTCCTATAAACTATTATACTCTCCACAGAATCCATACAACCTCTTACTGCTTCAGATGTATTTAGTTCCTATACTTGTCCCTTACTGAAAAGGACAGTTTCTATTTGCAGTTATAACCTGTGAATCATCTTTAATAGAACAAGAGGCACACATGAACATACACAACTTACTTGCTTTCTAAGAGTCTGATAAGTGGAAGAAATTGTTCATTTAGCAAAGATACTTTATGAGGATCGATTTCTTCCTGTGAACAATATGAAATATACTCTTCAAAAAGAAGACTGCAAAAGAAAGCAGAAATGTCAGGAAATGTGAGTTCCTACTATATTGTAGGTACTTTATAAATACTATTTCTAATTATTATACCACTATGAGGTTGAAATTATACCTTTCCTTTTTTTTTTTTTTTTTTGGTGTGCTGGTCTGAGGGCTTGAACTCAGGGCCTGGGCGCTTTCTCTGAGCTTTTTTTGCTTATGGCTAGCACTCTACCTCTTGGGTACCTCCTCTCCCCCTTCCCTCCAACCCTCAACCTCCCTTTTTTAGTGGTTACTTGAAGATAAGAGTCTCATGGACTTTCCTCTCTGGGCTGACTTCAAATCTCAATCCTCAGATCTCAGCCTCCTGAATAGTTAGTATTACAGGTATGAACCACCAGTGCCCGGTTATACCACTTTCTCTACCAAAATTTTGGTATAAAACTTCTTTTAATTTATCCAACTTGCCTGAGGTTCAATTAAACAATGAAAGTTAGCCTTTAATGAGCCCTCCATGCCAGAAAAAAGCAGAATAGTGTATTAACCCCATTCTGAGTCCCAAACCTAAACTAAGGTTTCATGCATCACATTTAATCCTCAAACTAACTCCAAGCAAGGGGCATGAACACTGCCCACCACAGGAAGGCCCGTACAACTTTACACGAATGGCAAACGCAGATGAAGGAAGACCAACTGCCAGATCTTACTACTCTACTAAGGAGCAGGCTTCCAACCTATGTCTGACTATAATGTCTGCGTTCAACTCATTGTAGTAAGCTGCCCTTTAACTTGGAAAGGAAAAAAATGACACTACAGTAGTATCTTTTCAGAACAGGAAGAATCCTATTTACCCTGTGCCTATCCTCACTGTTAGGGCTCTCCTGCCATTTACCGAGTGTAAACTGTGATACAGGCATTAGGGCTGGCAACTGTTTTTATGATAGGGTCTTGTACACTATTCATATTGATCTTGAACTTCCAACACTATGCAGCCTCAGGCTGGCTTCAAACTCACTATCCTCTCACCACAGCCTCCCAAGTGCTGAAATAATGAGCGCATCCCTGTAGTGGGCCCATTTATTAACAAAACACTTTAACAGCCACAAATTGTATTGGGTAATACTATAAATTCGGCTGACCTATTATCTTTCATTTTCTTCAGTAAGTTTTAAGAGGACACAGGAAAAGATTTACTTTTTATGCTGCCACAATTACTATATACCCATATTTAGTGAAATGCTATACATTAAAAAGAGATACTAGAAAACTAATCAACTCTGAAATGTATACTGAGCCACAAAGAATGTTAAAAACAATAGTTTGCTGGGCGCCAGTGACTCATGCCTTTAATCCTAGCTACTCAGGGGGCTAAGAGCTGAGGATTGTGGTTCAAAGCCAGCCAAGGCAGGAAAGTCCCATGAGACTCTTATCTCCAATGAACCACCAGAAAACCAGAAGTTGTACTGTAGTTCAAGTATAAAGCGCTTGCCTTGAGCTGAAGAGCTCAGGGACAGCGTCAGGCTCAGAGTTCAAGCCCCATGACTGACAAAACAACAACAACAAAATAAAACATAAAAAAAAAATAGCTTACTTAGCCAACAAATGGTCTAAGTTGTTCTTCAGTGGTAGCTTTATAAGTATGTCTTCTAAGAGTCTCTTGTAGATCTGACCATCTATCTCTTCAGCTTCTCCTTAATATAAAACAAATTAAACTTGAGCTGGGGGAAACTTTTTTTGTATGCACACACTATTACAATACTTGGAGCAGAATACCTTTTTAGAAACAATGAAAGAACATATACACTGACACTCAGCTTGTTACCTATTTTCAAAGACATATTTTACCTATTTTGTCATTTATAATTCTTGAAGCATTGAAAGCATTCTCAAAACATTTTTCTCATTCATATTTTACCTAAATTCTCTGTATTTTAACAAATACTATCATAGCATTTATATTAATAATAGAACATTAAATGCAAAAACTACATAGCTGTTCCCTAAGTCACAGCAAAAGCTGGTTGTAAAGTTGAGCCAAGAACCTAGATCCAACTAAACCCTGAGAATAGCTCAGGGTCTCCTTATTCAATCAAAGTTGCCATCCTTATTCTAGTTTACTTTTAACATATGACTCGACGTTAGTCAGGCCTTCAGAGCCTGACAACACTTCATGTGTTACCATGGCAATAGAAAGGACACATTTTCTGCCTCCTGAGAGCTAGGATTACAGGCAGGCACCTAGCTAGGTCTGGTATTCCTAAGGAATCTTTTTTTTTTTTTTTGGTCGGTCATGGGGCTTGAACTCTGGGCTTGAGCGCTGTCCCTCAGCTATTCAGCACAAGGCTAGTGCTCTACCACTTGAACTACAGCACCACTTCCAGTTTTCTGGTGGTTTATTGGAAATAAGAGTTTCAGGACTTTCCTGCCCGGGCTGGCTATGAGCCGCAATCCTCAGATGTCATTCCTGAGTAGCTAGGATTATAGGTGTGAGCCACCGGTGCTGGCTGAGACTCTTTTTTTTTTTTTTAATCGGTAGTGGGGCTTGAACTCTAAGCTTGGGCGCTGTCCCTGCTTTCTTCAGCTCAAGGTAAGCACTCTAACGCTTGAGCCATAGCACCACTTCCCCAGCTTTTTCTACTTATGTGGTGCTAAAGAATCAAACCCAGGGCCTCATGCATGCAAGGCAAGCACTCTACCACTGAGCCACCTTCCCAGTCCAATATACTTTAATTCCACAGTTGTTTTACTTTTAAATGTAGATTATTTAAGCTAAACAGAATTCAGAGAAATGACTCTGAAAAACAGGATCTCCCTTCAACCAATAGGCTTTCCACTCCAAGTATTTTCCAATTAAGACCAACAGACAAGTCAAAATCTTGGACAGCAGAAATTTCAAGTAATTTCAAGCTCACAGCCAGATGGTGGTCAGGGCCCAGAGTATAAGAAGCACACACCTGTGACATGGTGGATGACCGAGATGACCAGATGGGGAAGCATGTAGCGCAGGAGAGAACTGATGTCATACGTTCCAGAAATGTCCTGAAGCATCATGATAAGGTTGGGAACACTGCACAAGTGAGGGAAAGGCCTGGGGGAAGACAAGCATGTGGTACCTACAAGTTAGACAAGGCGCGAGACTGAACAGTAGCCTGTCACTTGTCTTCAAGGTAACATCATTTACTACTTACTTCTGACTAGTTCTACTTCTCAACTCAGTGATACATACTTTTTCCCAAGGCTCTCTGGCTTCTGTCTCTGCAGCAGAATTATCAAGCAACCTAATCCATCTCTGACCAAAGAGGGAACACTGGTCAGTGTTCTGATGAGCTGCGACGCCAGGGAATTAACGAAGGTATCTTCCATCATCACTTTCACAGAAATCTGACAGATTATCATGTATGTGGCAGCTCTGTAATCTGGTAGAGATGATTTCAACCCCTAGATATTTTTCAAAATATAAGAAAAGTGACAAAGTAAGGAAATTTTCTTCTCCTTCAAATGCTATTTTACTATGACAAATCAGAAATGTCAACATTTACGAGAAGGGGCTGGAAGGTGGCTCAGTGGTAGAGCCACCTTGCATGCCTGAGGCCCTGGGTTTGATTCCTCAGCACCACATAAGTAAAAAGAAAAAAGCCGGAAGTGGTGCTGTGGCTCAAGTGGTAGAGCGCTAGTCTTGAGCTGAAGAGCTGAGGGACAGTGCTCAGGCTCAGAGTTCAGGCCCCATGACCGGACCCCCAAAAAAAAAACAACAAAAAAAAACATTTACGACAAATGTTTACCCAACTTTAACTGTTCTATGATAATATATGGAAACTGAAACATCAGTGGTACCCCACAAATATGTGCGGAACTGATTTTTGTGTATCCGTTAAAAAATACAATTTCAAAACAGGTTCTATGTTAGGATGAATAAAACAATGCAGGTAGAGGGCTTAATGTGGTAGAGGGCTTGCTTAGCATGCATGAAGTCCTGGCTTCCATTCTTTAGTACTATATACACAGAAAAGGCTGGAAGTGGCACTACTGCTCCAGTGGCAGAGTGCTAGCTTTGTGCAAAAGAAGCTCAGAAACAGTGCCCAGGCCCTGAGTTCAAGCCCTAAGACTGGAAAACAAAACAAAACCTATCGTACAGTCAATAACTCTTTAGAGTTAGAAAACATGTGCTGGCCCCACAGGGATGGACAAGTCTCTTAAACAGAGAGAGGGGTCCTCTGCACTTCTCCACACATCCAACCACAACAACAGCTCTGCTTTTCCATGTTAGAAAGTGGCTGACTGAAAACAGCAATCAGTGAAAAGCACAACTTCCATGGAAGGACACTGCACGGGGCAAAAGAGGAAAATGGAGCGGCAGAAGCCAGTGGAAGAACAGGTAATGAGCAGCCCATGCCAGATGACGCTGCCATGTTCTTCACGTCAGAAATGACCACTTGAAACAGATCTGAGAGACAGCATCAGAGGCATGGGGCCGACATCAATTCTTACAGACCAAATTATGGTATGAAAAATGTCCTACTTTTTACTTGAAGATTAAATCTTACTAACCATTAGAAACAAACTGTCAAATTGAAAAATGTTTATTTGTAAGCAAAATTTTCCAAAGGAAAGCAATTCCTTTTGATACAAATTAAACTGCTAGAGACATGAGCAGGACCAACCTTTTGGACATAGGGAAACAGTTTGGCGACTATGTTGTCTGACACGTCCTCCGCAGCCAACAGAGCAGCCACAATGGTGGAGGCATAGAAAGACAGGAGCACACGCAGCTGTGCGGCACTTCCCGGGCGCTCGGAGAAAGCCTGGACGGGGAACAACCAAGACGTTGTACAGGCAGCTCTGCAAAACCTCAGACCACACAGCTGTCTGGTACATGAAACCTCAGCTAAAAAAACAATCGTCAATGGTAACCCCTCTATCCATGACCTTGAACGATAATAAAATTTTAAAAAGAAACAATCTCGCTGGCTGTCAGGAGTAAACTGCACCTCCAAGAAAGGATGGAATTCCAAACTGCTTCTACACCAAGGCTGCAGATACCTCAACAGAAGGAATCTCGCCAGCGTTCCACTCTCGCTGGGAAAGGCTCTAGTCTATGTTCTTCATGCAGTGCAGGCAATCGCACTCAGCAAACGATATGTGACTCACCTTCACAGACTTAGTCACTAGACTACAAATCAAATCCATGAAGCCAAGGTCTTTGTAGCAGTGGGTGACCAAGGTTCCTCGAGCCAGGGGCACTCCAGATTGCTGGTATGGGCACAGAGAACAAGCCGTTAGCAACATTCGTCACTACTCCATTCAGGCATCTACCCTAATGACATCTTCATACTGTGGCTGTTCACACATATGAATTACAATCTCCAAGCTGGTGGAGGTAACTAGATTAATGCAGAAAAATGGTGCCACTCCAGAAAGTCAAGAGAGAAGTTGATGGTGGAGGAATTTATTGAAGAATGCTTATTAGGTGTTCCCTATTCTTTTCTTTTTTTTTCTTTTAGCTGGTCCTGGGCCTTGAACTCTGGGTCTAGGTTCTGTCTCCAAGTTATTTTCCTCAAGACTAGCACTCTACCACTTGAGCCACAGTTCTACTTCTGGTTTTCAGTGGTTAATTGCAGATAAGAGAGAGACTCATGGGACTTTCTGGGATGACTTCAAACTATGATTCTCAGATCTTAGCCTCCAGAGTAGATAGAATTACAGGTGTGAGCCACCAGCACTGGGCTTCCTCCATTTTTTTTTAACCTCTTCAGTTTCAAAACTTAAAATACTAAACAGCATAGTACTGTGAAAAAACACAGGCTTTAGCATCAGATCAGAATTCACATACCAGCTCTAAACACGGATCATGTGAACTATCTGGTAAGCACCTTAGCCATCCAAGCTTATTTTCATTTGTAAAGAGTTTTATGAGACCTTAATACAATGCAAAAATGCTTAACTTTACATCAGGCATTAATTAAATGCTAGATGTTACAAATAACGGTAACAACTAGAAGTTAGACAATGAAAGTGATTTAGGTATTATTTGACTAATACCCCTAAGCACTAGGACTTTATTTCTCCCGAATTTTATCCCTTAATCAAAAATTGTCATGCTTACATTCAGAGGTCCTACAACAATCATACCTTAACTGGAAACAACCAGTACCATTTGTGCTTTGGATTATTAATTTTTAGAAGCTGTATCACTCGTACAAATATTTTTGTCTCGTGGTATGGCAGAACACAGGCAATGAGACTATCTTGATTGTAAAGGTGGATATGGAACCTGGGGGGAAAAAGCAAATAATTCAAATGGACAGGAAACCTACAGGCACACGTCCTGACATGTTCAAATTCTGCATGAGATAAAACTACCTAAAAGAATAAACCATCTGGTCAGTCATAACCATAAACAAGGAACATAGCACTAAAGTATGAGGCCTCCAACTCTGCATCCACGTCTACTCAGTACTGTCTGGCCATTCTGATGCTCCAGGACTTATACTCCATTCTCATTCTTTCCTGTTGATTTCTGTAGTTCTGTTAGCTACCTGTGAATCAACCATTCCAGACACTTCTGTGCTGGCTTCAGCAGGAAGTAGGGGGACAGGTGGATCAGGAATAAGGAAATGTTTTCATCCAGCTGCTTGTTCACGGCTTTGGTCTGGACGCTGCGCTCCAGGGTTTTTGCCAGCTGGCTGAACAGGGGTGCTTCAAACTGCTCAAAGGCGGGATCAATCCCCAGCAGTTCCTCCAGGCCAGTGCAGCCTAGGAAAAGACCACATCAGTCAACACTTCTTTCCCAAACAGACTCATCCTAGTCTCTCACTTTCAGAACTGGGGCTTAAACTGAGGGCCACATGCTCTTGCAGAGCCCTTCCACCCAAGACAGGCACTCTACCACATGTGCCACGGCTGCACCTCTGGCTTTTTTTCTGTTTGTTGTTCTGGAGATAAAAGTCTCACTCAGAAGTGGCACTGTGGCTCAAGTGGTATCGCGCTTGCCTTGAGCTGAAGAGCTGAGGGGCAGCGCCCAGGCTCAGAGTTCAAGCCCTTAGACCAACCAAAACAAAACAACAAAGTCTCACAGGCTTCTCCTGCCCGGGCGGGCTTTGACCCGCGATCCTCAGCTCTCAGCCTCCTGGGTAGCTATGATTACAGGAATGAGCCACCCACAATGGCTTCCTATTCTGTTTCTACGGTTTTCTTTGCCGGTCACGATGGAGCTCTTAGCATGCGTAACTCGAAGACTCGACAAAGATTCGTGGTTTTTAACAGACGAAGTCAACCCTATCTCACTAGATCAGAAAGCGCTAGGTGGCAGGAGTCCACCCTGGCCTTTCTCAGCCTTCTCTTCAGTCCTCAGCCACAACGAGGCCCGGCCTCCGGGAAGGCTGGCCAGATGGCCTGCACCCCGCCGGCCGCCCCCGCGCGGTCCCGCCGGCCTCCCCGCGCCGTCCCACCCGGCTCCCCCCTTCCTTTCCTCCAGCTAGCTCCTCTCCCGCGTGTGCCGCGGCCGACACACTTCGAGCACCGCGCGCGGTCCGGAGCCCCCTCCTCCGCCCCGGGCCCAGCGCAGCCCTCCGCGGGGAGCGATCCCAGCGGAGTCGGGGCGAGTTACCGATGGCGAAGGCGGTGTCCCGGTCGATGGCGGCCGCTTCCTTGGGGTCGAAGAGCAGAGAGGCGGCTTCCCGTCGGGACAGGAGGCTGGGGTCGGTCTGGGGCAGCGCGAGGCGCCGCAGCTGCTGCGCCAGGGACGTCATGGTCGTCGCCGCGGGGACCTGGGAGCCGGGAGGACGTGTGAGGCGCGGGGTCGAGGCCGCGGGGACCTAACCCTAACCGCGCCCTCCCCGACCAGGGCCGGCCCCACGGCTCGCCTCAGCCCCGCCGGGCCGCCGCTCAGCCCCGACCCGGCTCCAACCCGCACAGCCCCAGCACGCCTGGCCCTCCCTCGCGCTGCCGCCCAGCGGATGCCGCAGCCCGTCCGCGGCCCGGGGCTTCTCCTCACCTTCCCTGGAGCACGGGCTTTGGGCGGATCGCTAAGGCTAACCGTTCAAAGGAGCCCCGGCGTGGGGCCGAGGAGTCCAGCGCTCGCCCGGAAACCAGAAGCACATGTCAGAGGAACCTCCGGTTCCGGGCTCTACGGCAAGAGACAAGGTACAGGCTTGTGGGACGCGCGACGCGGAAGCCCCGCCCTCCAGACGGTAGTCACGCCTTCTCAGCGGTAACCACGCCCTTCGGAAGAAACCACGCCCCGACGCCACCTTCTTCCTAGTGGTTGCAACGCCTCCCGTGCTGGGCCCGCTCCAGCCAACGGTTCTCCGGGCTCCACTGTGGTTTTTCTGCCTGAGGAACCCATGGGCAGGGGGCGGGGCGTCCCGGGCAGGGGGCGGGGCATCCCGGGCAGGGGGCGGGGCGGAGGCTGCAGCTGTGCACGCCAGCATCGCCAACCGAGAAGTGACGTGCTGTGACGGCCAGCACGGGAGAACACGGTGCAGAAGACGTTTATCCAGGGCTGGAAAGCATCCGGTTCCAAAGAGAGCCGCGTCCCGTGGACTTGGCTGAGTCCTGGTGTTGGAGGCGTGGCAGAGACTTAGTTAATGCTGTCCCTCTATATTTAACCCTTAAAAATCTCACCTTCGTTGCAGCAGAATCAGAATGTTCGTAGGCGGTGAGTGTCACTGCGAGGAGCCCTGCCTGGCACGCTCACTGACTCCCTGAACCGACTCACGAGCGCTGTGTGCCCGCGTTGGCTTTGTGCTCACGAAAGGCGTGTCAAGCGACCGAGAGCCACGTAGAGACGGGAAGAGCAGGATTAGCCTAACGAGAGAGAACGATTTACTCAGAAACGTCAGGATCTTGTGGACGTTTGGCACACACACATATACACATGTATATGAGTATATGTATATATATGACAACGGACGGGTTGTCATCTGAGCCATCAGTGATGTGAGATATGGATCATTAGCAAAGTTTTTGAAAATCGGCATTTCGGCCGAACGCCCACAGACATTTGACAGAATGATTGCGGTGGTCATGAGTCTGGGAATTGGTTTATCTTGTCACTAAAAATGACTGCTGTCTGTTATTTTGAAAGGTGCTCCTGACAACTCGGAGTTGAACAATGGAGCTGGAGGAAGCAAGTGCCTGCTACACCGGGAACAACCTACAGGTGCCGCCAAAGCATCTTCTCAATCATGGAGGTCAGTCCGGATTGACCCAGGTGTGTGGGTGGGGGAGGTCACATTTTTAAATGCGAAAATTACATGCAATTGTCTGAAGTTACATGTCACGAAATGAAATAAAATGATGGCTTCAGTGTGTCATTTAATATTTAGGAATTTTAAAATGTTTAGTTAGTCTTGCCTAGTGGGAATCGTTCAGTTCTTCCCCATCATCACCTCATCCAGGGACTATTTACCAGTGGGGATATTGATTATTGATTAAGGTAATAATGAATACAAGTCTAAAACTTTATGGAAATTTAAACAGATTAAAATAAAGATTCGGGCTGGGCACCAATGGCTCATGCCTGTAATCCAAACTACTCAGGAAGCTGAGATCCAAGGATTGTGGTTCAAAGCCAGCTGAGGAAAAAAGGTCTATGAGACTCTTATCTCCAATTAACTACTAAAAAAGCTGGAAGTAGAGCTGTGGCTCAAGTGATAGAGCACTAGCCTTGAACACAAATGCTCAAAGACAGTGCCCAGGCCCTGAGTTCAAGCCGAAGGACCAGCACACACACATACACAAAAGTATAATGTATTCATTCTCCCTGCTGCAAAAATTGCTTGTATATAATCAACCTATGAATAAAGCTAATGCACACAAATATAAACTTAATTAGAAAAAAATGTTAAAATAGTAGAATACATTATTTCTTGTTCCTTAATGGTTATAGTTAATATAAGGATGCTATTTAAAGTGGTAGTGTTTACTCCTGACAAAGACATACATGAATTCATATTTTCATATATTGCTAATGATACTAGGAAGTTCTGTACCCCTTTCAGAAGCAGGTTGGAAATAGGAATCCAGAACTCAAAACCTGATTAACTTACTAATTGCATGTCTGGAAGCCATTGGAGCCACCATCCCACGATAATCTTCTTGTGTGGGATGGTGGATTTAAAAAAATGCAATGTGTAGTTAAGTATATAGTTAATATATTTAAATGTAAAGAAACCTACAACTTGATAATATGAAACAAAACAATGTATCCTTGCATACCAAAGATTTCTTTTTTTGGTCTGGGAGGGGGAAGAAAGATAAAAACTTGAACTTAGTATCTGACACTTTGGCTCATAGCTAGAGTTCTATCCACTAAGCCACGCATTCCACCCGCATACCAATGCTTTCTATATTGTTTCCATTCTGAACCAGAAGCCATGGTTTAAACCTTCAGCATAGTTAACATTTTTCCCATAAATAATTCCATAAAAATAACTTGCTGGAGACCGTGTACCAACAGATATGTAAATAGCATGGCGTGCTTGGCTGTTTGGTTGTCTTAGTGCTGTGTCTGTAGAAGGAAAGGAGAGCTTCCTTTGGAGTCAGTGCTCAGTTCTGCGACCAGATTTCCACCCAGAGAACCAATGAGATAAGTGCACCCTCACAGAACTGTAAACCCCTGGGGAAATTTCCACTCTGTAATCTCAGAGGACCCTTACATAAAAGGCATTGTGCATGTAAAAAATAAACTAGATGCACAGTTGCAGACAGTCAAGAATTTAAGACTGCCAGGTGCTCACGCCTGCTCACACCTGTAATCCCAGCACTCAGGAGGCTGAAACTCCAATAAACCACTCAGACAACCAGAAGTGATGCAGTAGTTCAAGTGGTAGAGCACTAGCCTCGAGCTGAAGAGCAGCACCCAGGCCCAGAGTTCTAGCCCCATGACTGACAAGAAAGAAAGAAAGAAAGAAAGAAAGAAAGAAAGAAAGGAAGGAAGGAAGGAAGAAAGTGAAATTAAGGCTGTAAGTAGGTTAAAGGTGTGTGTGTGCATGCACACGCACATACCAGCTATTGTATGGAAGGCAAAAAGGGAATCCATCCCATTAAACACTGCAACATTGGGAAATAAAAATTATTCGGATGGTTGAGGACCGGAAGGATGATCAGATACCTTTCAGAAATTAATTCAAGCTAGGAGCTGGTGGTTCACTTTTGTAATCCTAGCTACTCAGGAGGCTGAGATCTGAGAATCACAGTTCAAAGCCAGCCAGGGCAGGAAAGTCTGTGAGACTCATCTCTGATCAACTGCCAAAAAACCAGATGGTGCTGTGGCTCAAAGTAGTTGAGCTAGCCTTGAGCAAAAAGAGCTTAGGGGTAGCACCTAGGCCCTCAGTTCAAGCCCCACAACTGACGGGGGTGTTGCGGGGTGGAGGAGCCTGGCTCTCTACTGCTTGAGCCATACCTCTACTTCCAGCTTTTTTTTAATGGTTAATTGGCAATAAGAATCTCACAGTCTGGGCTAGCTTTTAACAATGATCCTTAGATAGCTGCCTCTGGAGTCGTTAGAATTACAGCCCATGGCTTGATTGGAATTTTTAAAACTTAAATGATTTATAACTGCAGGAATGTTTTATGAACTAACCATAGAGTTGTCAGAAAAGAAAGCATTAAACAAAAAGCTAATGGTAACTGAGAAGTTAACCTTTGTGGAATGTAGACATTGCCTTAATGCTAGAAGGCTTCCAAGCTTCAACTCCACAGACTTGTAAATCTAAATGGAAGAACTGAGGGCTGATGCCAGCAGCACACATCAATCAAATGACTTTCCCCTGCTAGATTTTCCATTGTTTGATCATAATCTTTCCTTTCCCCTGAGGCTAACTGAGAGTTTGATTAGCATTAGTACTTTATCTACATACCCAGAACTTAACTAGAAGGAAGACTTTAGCTAAGATAGCTTTCATCTGGGCACTTATTGCATTATTCATTGAATCCCTGCCAAATGCTGGATTTTTTATTTTGTTTTTTGCTGGTCCTGGGACTTGAACTCTGGGCCTGCGCTCTGTCCATGAGCTTCTTTGACTCAAGGCTAGCATTCTACCCACTTGAGCCACAGCGCCACTTCTGGCTTTTTCTGAGCCAGCTTAGGCTGGCTTCAAACTGTGATCCTCAGATCGCAGCCTCCTGAATAGCTAGGATTACAGGTGCCTGGCTCAAATGCTGGATTTTGCAAAACGAGATCTTTTGCTTTGAAATACTAAGCTTTTATCTTTGCTTTATGATATGTGATATGGAAGGATTAACTTGTATGTGTGGGTGTGTACGCACACGCATGTGCGCACACACAGTCCTGGTCACTTTCCCTGAGCTTTTTTTTCTGTTCAAGACTGGCACACTACCCCTTGAGCCACAGCTCCACTTTTTGGTGGTTAACTGGGAGATAGAGTCTCACAGATTTTTCGCCTGGGCTGGCTTTGAACCTTAATTCTCAGATCTGTTTTCTGAGTAGCTAGGATTACAGGAGTGAGCTTCTGTCTCAATTTTTTTAGTGCTGTTTTCTCCCTTCTCCTCCTCCTCCTCCTCCTCCTCCTCCTCCTCCTCTTTGCCCCTCTTTCCCCTCCCCGCTCCTCTTCCCCCTCCTTCTTCCTCCTCCTCCTCCTCCTTCTTCTCTTCCTCTTCCTTCTCCTCCTCCTCCTTTTTTTTTGTTAATATTGCTGAAAATAGCAACTTCTGTATTTGGGCAACACAGTCAGGGTACCCCACTGCCCACAGAGCTCTGTTTTGGGTGTTCCGACTCCCCAGAATCTCTCAGGCTCGTGGATTGAGCTTTTGCAGAAGGGTGCGGGAGGGCCAAGCAAATTCGGCCATGCCAGCCACCAGGTCTGTCTTCAGGTGAGCACTGGTGTCCTGCGCAGCCATGTGAGTTCCGCCTGGCGTCCTTGGCCACGACCCACCCCAGCCATTCACTCTCCAACTTCTGCAGGATTCTGTCCCCGCAGCCCACACTGGTGGAGCCTAGGAAAGACGGTGACTGTCGGGTCTGGCGAAAGAAAGGACAAAGAGGAAAAGCATCACACCCTATACTCTTGCACCGTGGCTTGGCACCCTGCATGCCAATTAAAAACCCATGCAGTCTTCAACTCAGCTGTTTCAC